GGATAGATCAAGGGCAGGTGGACCTTAGGGAGCCACCCCTCTTAAAGGCAAAGGAGTGCACTGGACCCCAGCATGTAGCACAATGGCAACCAGGGTCCTAGTGCACCCACGTACCAAAAAATCAAACATGCATAAAAGTGGCCACCCGCCCAAGTCTATAACTGGCTTATGAAGCAAGGACACATAAACAGGCTGGCAAGTTGTCCAAGAACATTGTTCTCTCCCTCTTTTTTCACTATGTGATGCCTGTTTATGTGTCCTTGCTTCATAAGCCAGTTATAGACTTGGGCGGGTGGCCACTTTTATGCGTGTTACATAGGCAGACTAATTTCTAATCAGGACTTGTAGAAATTCAAACGTAATTAAATGATTATTAGTCTAGGTTAACACCTAAGTGTTTTCCGCAGCATTTTGCAGAAACACACTACAGTCCATTTAATATGATTTCCTTCGGGACACAGCCACATCTCCACATTTTCACCCAGTGCGTTTTTTGGAAAGGGTCAGGGACTTTTTTAAATGCAAAAAGTTGTGTTTTTGGTTCTATAGACTTCAATGGTTACGCTGCGGAAAAGCATGTAGTGTGTTTTTTGCTGCGTTTTGCTTGTTAATCTGCTTAGCAACAAGGAAAAAAAAACCCTGCAAAAACGGAAAACACTCCGCAAAAAGCACTGCAGAAACAGAACAAATGCAAACTGCATAGGTGTGAACCTAGCCTTCATGCCGTGTGCACAAGGAGTGCAGTGTACAATACATAGGCAAAGTATACAAAATAGAATACAATTTTATACAGAATTTACAAATTTCCTTTACAATCTAAAGTGTCAGTGAACTCTTTTCTGCTACTTTTACCTACAGGAAAGCTTATAATAAAGCTTACCTGTAGGTAAAATGATTATCTCCTAACTGTGCATTGTTTAGGGATATTCCAGTGAGCAGCAGCCGGTCACATCACTGGTGCATGCGCTCTGAAGGGACGGCATACTCATGCCATCCCTTCAGAGCTCTATGCCGCGGCCATGACTCCCGTGTGAATGCATGGAAATGACGTCATTGTTGCTTTGCCATTCAAGTGGCCAGGGCCCGTGAAGATGGAAGCCTTGTCAGCGGAGATGGCGCTCCACTGGAGGGTTTCGTTTCATGGTACAGATGTGCTTGAAAGTTTTCATACCCTTGGAGAATTGGTAATGTATGTACCATTTTTAAAGAAAACATGAGTGAGCAGGCAAAATGCATTTCTTTTATTTCTTATGGGATTCATATTCAACTGCAGGTTATAACAGAATGCAACAAGTAAACAAATGAAGTGACCTCTGTTCAAAAGTTGCTCCCTTTTAGCAGCAATGACAGCGTGCAGTCTTTTAACATAGTTTTCTACGAGGCCCCAAATTCTTGCAGGTGGCATACTTGCCCATTCGTCTTGGCAAAATGCCTCCAGGTCATGCAAAGTCTTTGGTTGTCTTGGATGAACTGTGCGTTTGAGATCTCCCCAGATTGGCTCGATTAAATTAAGGTCAGGAGACTGTGATGGCCACTCCAACTTGGCTTTGTGCTTAGGGTCAGTGTCATGCTGGAAAGTCTAAGAGCGTTCCATGCACAGCTTTCGTGCAAAAGAATGCTAATTGTCTGCTAGTACTTTCTGATCACATGCTGCATTCATCTTGCCATCAATTTTCACAAGATTCCTCATGCCTTTAGAGCTTACACACCACCAAAACATCAGTGAGCCATCACCTTGCTTCATAGTGGGGATGGTATTCTTGTTGCTCCAAACAGAGAGTTTTATGTTCACAACCATAAGCACTATTTTGGTCTGGTTTGTGCCAGAAGCTGTGAGGCGTGTCAAGGTGTCAGGAATATTTCAACCAGGCTTTCATTGGTGCAGTAAAGGCTTCTTTCTGGCAAGTCGACCATGCAGATAATTTTTGTTCAAGTTTTGTCGTATTGTGCTCCTTGAAACAACCACACTGTCTTTTTTTTTTTTTTTTTTTTTTTTTGAGCAGCCTGTATTTCTCCTGAGGTTACCTGTGGGTCTTTAGGCAGTTGTGACTGCAATCTTTCTTGGTCACCCTGAACTTGGCTTGGCATTAAGAGATCCCTGAATGGTCCACTTCTTGGTATGTGATTGAACAGTACTGACTGTCATATTCAAGGTTTTGGATATCTTTTTATATCCTTTTCTATCTGTATAAAGTTCTATTACCTTGTTAAGCAGGTCTTTTGATGGTTCTTTTCTGCTCCCCATGTGTCATGGTCTAGCCTGCTCATTGCATCCACATGAGAGCTAACAAACTTGACTATTTATGTATAGACACTAATTGCAATTTAACCTTCCTCTTGTGTTAGTTTCCTGTTACCATCTCTTATGTTAACGGGTCGGTTTTGAAACAATTATCTATCATCCAATTTGTTTCTCGGCTCTTGGTTACCTTGTTAGGCTTCCTTATCCATGAAAATATTGGTTTTAATATTTTTGGTGTGGGCCCGTGGGCCTTTTTTTTGTCAGTATACCCCTCGATTTCAATTAAAAAACAATGTAAAATGAACCTCAAGAGAATCCTATAACTAAATAAAAGGTTGTTATGTCACCTACTATTACTGAGGGGATTTAGAACACATCTCTGAAATAAATTTGTTTTGTTTATTTTTTCATTTTAATAATTATTAACTATAGTAACATCTATGGTGTTACGGGTCAATTTCGACCCATATATATAATTACTTCAAAAAGGCAAAAAAGTCTTTTTTTTCAGCAATAGAACTTTAGTACAAACACAAAATGAAAAACAGAACAGATATATATATATATATATATATATATATATATATATATATATATATATATATAAACAAAATATAGATTTTTATGCCATACTTCCCTGGCTTACTGGGTATGTATTGCCGGAAGGGGCATTTTCCTCGGAAAGGGACAAGACGTTCATCCACTGTCACCTCTGGCCCAGGGTTGAACATCAGTGGAAGGAGCTGCACCCATCTCTCCCAGACATCCCTGATTGGGCAAGCTTATCCGATCTTGCTCTGGTATCTCTGTCAAATCTGAGGACTCTTGATATCATTTGAAAGGTCTGAAGTGACATTGTTGCCCGGAAAATATTTCTGCCTGTCGATGGCAGTGGCCTCATTGCAGGATCTGTACACTCCAGCAAGAAGAAGAACACCAATATAGGCATCCAGGTATTCCTCATCAATGTCTTTCCACATGCTGCCATGGACTTTTTTCCTTCAAGGTTTGTCATAGCAATGATGACTCTTTTTAGTGACAATGGCATAAATAGCTCAAAACATGTCTTGATGTCACTGACTCTCATCGCAGCAAACCTTGTGTTTCCAGGGGTCATTTTGATGACATTTGCAGAAACTGCCCTGCCATGTACATCAGGAGGTACTGAGCTCCAACAGATCTTACCATTTTTGGACTTGAATATTTCAGCGGGAGCAGCTTCAGCTCCGGTGGCCTCCTCATCAGACTCATCAGATGTGTCTGTGTCTTCTGGATGATACTCCACATTGTCTTCCTCCTCAGAAACCTGCTCATCCAAATCACTATGCTCCTCTGTGTCCTCTCCCTCATTTTCACCAAAAATATTATCCAGAACTTGGCTCTATGAAAATCTTCTTCTCATTTTTGCATGCTACAAATTGGAGATGTGCACTCTGCAAGTCACCAATTCTATAGTGAACTGGCCTCACATGTCTGGACATGCCCGTCTTTGTTCGTTTTTGTGCAGGTATACTGGAAAACAAGGCCAAATGAGAATCCCCTAAAGCTCACATGATTGGGAGAGGAGCTGGCTGTCAGTGTGCTGGTTGACAGTGAACTCATGATTTCAGTTTTGGCTCTCCTTATTGCTTTATAATCTTATTTTTATAACTGGGTCGAAACCGACCCTAACAACACAAAGGTTATAATTTCAACTTGAGCATTTTATAATTTAGTGAAAACTATTTTTTTTTTTTTAATTTTGTTGAAATAGAGGTTCCTGACAAAGTCATAAAGCCTTGATGCAATAAACAAATTTATATGGTTATTTTATGCATTTAAAACCTAAAAACGGGTCGGTGCCGACCCTAACACAAGATGAAGGTTAAAAATCCACAGTTGTGGGAAATGTAACCTTTAATTGTCATTTAAACCTGCGTGTGTCACCTTGCGTGCCTGTACCAAGGCCAAACATTCCAGGGTGTGTAAACTTTTGATCAAGGCTATATGGGCGATTTCTGTTATAATTTAAAAAGGAGTTTTTTTTGCATGATCAGTCATATTTTTAATATCCAATGCCAAAATGTCATGATTTCTGACAGGGTATGCAAACGTTTGAGCACAACTGTAAGTCTCCTATAGTGTGCTAGTATGCGACATATACTATCACAGTATAATTTTTCCTTGCAGGGAGAACTTTTTTTTTTCTTGGGGGGAAATTTATGTGGGACGAGTTTTATACATTTTTGAGCGTGCACATCCACCCTTTGTTTTCCACCCTCTATAGTCAAAAATGGTCAAGACACCTGACTACCAGCCTTGTGCTGAATTCCAAGGAAAAACCTAAAGCTAGCCATATACTAAAATGACAGGAGACAGGAAATTTTGACTAGTAAAATTTTTTTTTTTTTTTTTTTTTAATTTAAAAATTTTCATTAGGGGTTGAAAGACACGTGATCAGTAAGCCAAATAATTTGACAATCAGCCAAAATATTCCAGCCAATCGTAATGGTCATCCTAGGGTGTAGTGTTGCATCTGTGGACATAAATACATTCACCCTAACATTGTGTGCTAAAGTTTTCATAAAAAAAGTCCATAATGCCATATTTACTTTGAATGTAACATGTAATATTACTGATCCTGATCCCTGTCATAAGATAGCTGACCCGAAGGCCTGTTTATGTTCTGAATTAGGCTGAAAAGCTATAACAATGCATGCTTGTCTGTCATTATTATTACTACATTGTATCTTTATTCTCTCTTGTGCATTGCTTTAAGGTGATGAAGGGATAGTCGCATGCCAGCTGCTGCCCTCCGTCCCATGTCTTCTGCACTGTCACCTTCAGGAAGGAATGCTGCTTCTATGGATAAGATCATCATCTTCTGCTTTATTGGACTGCTTACTTTATCAATGCCAAAAAGCCCTTGAGGACCACTAAAACTTGCTGTGCCTCCTCTGTAGGTTTACATGGTTGTATTATATTGTGCACCAAAGCAATGCTGCTAACAGATGGAAGATGTGTGACTGTTGTACAGGATAACTTAAGACTTTGAAGAAGCATTGATTTTTTTATTTGACAAATACTACAAAAAAAATTTGTACCTGTAAGTTATTGATAATTGCACTATTGGTTTGCAGTACAATGAATGTAAACAGGTTTTTATTTTTTTATGCTCTTCAGTTGAAAATCTTCTTGTCAGATACCATGAACTGTGTTAGTTATTGGTGAAGTTCTCACCAGGGATATGACATGGATTTTTACCCTCCATAGAGTAATAGGCCAGCAATACAGTGTTTAAACGTATAGTCATTAGTATTGTTCTTTACATTTATGGAAGTGGATGTAAAGCATTAAAGGAGAACTCCAGCTGGATTAAACACTATAAATAAAACATTACTTAAAGTAAACCTGTGAGGGGAGAAAGACGGGCTGTCACTGCGTTCATACTTCTGAAAATGGTTGTTCCATAGCAGGAATGCTGTTCAGGCAAAGTCAGAAGTCCTCTGTATATTTGGTCCAAGTCTGTGACTTAAACTATTAAAGCCAGAGGGTCAGTATGACAACCAGGCAACTAGAATTTTCAAAAGGAGATGTCCGCTTTTGTAGTCATTTTTCCATTACAGGTTTTCTTAAGAAATAAAATAAGTAACATTACACGCCTGGTATTGTAAGGATTGAGAGCTGCAATAGATTGTGAGCTAACAGTTACTAATTACTTGTCAATATAAGTGTATTTCCTCAATGGATGGGGGAAGGGGCTGCTGCTAGAGTAAGCCGTAGCTTGTGTAACGACTGAGTTGTTGTCCTGAATTTACACAAACGTTTCTACTACAGGTCTACATCATTGGGTGGCAACACTCCCTCCCCCAAATTCAGCATTATTACATAAAATGGATTGTTCCCCTGATTGTGTAATTGTGGCCAAGCTATCCCTGGAATTCTCTTTTAGCTGCGCTCTATAGCTTATCCATTCATTAATCAATGTTTTCTTACTGCTTCTTCTGCAGAGTCTTCCTTGCCTTTCTTCCTATTTCTGTGACCTTTGTTTCCCCAGCAGCCTTAAAGGAGAAATGCAGTCAAAGCTCTTTTGGCTACTTCTGTGGATCACAGGAGTGCATTTCGTTCTGCACTCCTTTGACCCATTTTCAGCTGACAGTGGGCTGAAGCCTGGCTAACGTCAGTCAGTCCAGGCTGGGGAATGATCCCGATTTTAAAGTTGGGATCCACCCCAGAGTCTGGCGCTGCACCTGGCTCAGCCTCTCAGCGAGCCACTGACAGGCAGAGCCAGTAACTCCCTCCCCCTCCACACCCCCCATCACTTCAGTGAGCTCTGCTCATCACAGCGACGGTGAGAACTCAGCGATCATCAGTCGTGTGATCACTGAGTTTTCACCCTTAGAGCCGGCGGGGGACAGACAGATCCAGCTACCTAGGTAAGTGTAATTTGGGGGGGGGGGGGAAACCCCACACTTCTCTTTTAAAGCTGAAGATCAATTACAATTTTTTTTATTTTGCTATAAAGCACCAAGGACAAAACTTACCTGTAATGAAGTATGTTCCGTGTCCTGCTGCATACTATAGAAATCTTCACCCCCACAGCATTGCTCTTCCAGTACTCTGAGGTTAATATCAGTCACTGCGAGTGTGAAAGATTTGCACTGATCACCCACCTCCTTCATTCATAGAACTTGTACAATTGTTTTCCGTACCACAGAGGCTGGTGTCAGGCTTGTGAAATTACTGATATGGTTGCCTGCACTTAAGGGAAAGTAAAATCTGTATCTTTCCATTTTTCCATCCATAATTATCTGCAGTGTTGCTGTTTTCTATGGTTAAAGTGGATCTAAAGCCTAAATTATTTTAGCTTAATGCTTGCTCTACATTTAAGGTAATTGTTTAGGTACAGTATCATTATTGCCCCCTCAAACCTCCCCCCCCCCTTATACTTATCTGAGTCCTCACTCGATCCAGCGCTGTTCCCATCTGCAGCAGTTCTGTCTTGTCAACCCTCTCTCGCAGGCTTTGCTGAGGCATCAGGAGCCCTTTGTTTCCACTGCTGTCAGCCAAATGCTGTGACGAGGGAGTGGGGGATGGAGCCAAGCCACCTTGTCTGTGTCTATGAATGCAGACAGCGCGGCTTGGGACCAAGCCCACAAATGTGTGATAATAGAAGGTACCTTCCTATGATGGCGAACTGAGAAGAAGAGCAGCCAGGAACACTGGTGAGGGGACCTGAGAAGAGGAGGATGAGGGTTGCTTTGTGTAATTCCATTGCACAAAGCAGATAAGTTTAACATGATTGTTATTTAAAACAAAAAATTCACCTTAAGCAAAATCACTCCATGTGGAGAGCTGCCTGTTGACATCCTAGCAGCCTTATTTATTTACTTCTTTTTGTGCCTTTAAATGGAATGTGTACATAAGGATGCTAATATGTTTTACCATTTGACATTTTTTTTTTATGCCATGTTAGTGCTTAATGACTATGTTATAGGAACACAAATTGTAATTAATATTATTCTTATCATAAATTTAAAGAAGGCTGTCATTGATTAACATATGTGCCAGTGTCATAACCCAGAAAACCATTCATGGTTTTTATTTTTACAATAGCAGCTGCATGACAATCACATTGCTATGTAAGATTCCATGCTCATAAGTACACTGCTCAAAAAAAGTTAAAGGAAAATGTTTTAATTGGAGTATGGTAAGGAAGTAGCAGAGGGGGTTGGTAATGAAATGAAAACCAAAGCAGCTGAAACTGATTAACAGGTGTACTAGATGGGGTAGCATGAGGCGATACCTGGACCCTACAAAGGTTGCACAGGCAGTCCAACTCCTCCAAGATGGCACATTAATACGTGCCATTTCCAGAAGGTTTGCTGTATCTCCCAGCACAGTCTCAAGAGCATGGAGGAGATTCCAGGAGAGCTGGACAGGGCCCTACAAAATTACCTCCAGCAGGCCACTGGTGTACACAGACTTCATGAAGTGGCCTGAGGGCCTGACTTCCTATAGTGGGCCCTGTGCTCACTGCCCGGCACCATAGAGCTCGATTGGCATTTGCCACTGAACACCAGAATTGGCAGGTCCGCCACTGGCGCTCTGTACTTTTCACAGATGAGAGAAGGGTTCACCCTGAGCACATGTGACAGACGTGAAAAGGTCTGGAGAAGCCAAGGAGACAGTTTTGCTGCCTGTAAATTGTTCAGCATGACCACTTTGGTGGTGGGTCAGTGATGGTCTGGGAAGGTATATCCATGGAGGGACACACAGACCTCTACAGGCTAGACAATGGCACCCTGACTGCCATTAGTTATCAGAATGAAATCTTGGACCCATTGTCAGACCCTACGTTGGTGTAGTGGGTCCTGGGTTCCTCCTGGTGCACAACAATGCCCGACTCATGTGGAGAGAGTATGCAGGCAGTTCCTGGGGATAAAGGTATTGATACCATTGAATGGCCCCCACACTCGCCTGACCTAAATCCAATAGAACACCTCTGGGATATCATGTTTTGGTCCATCTGACGACGCCAGGTTGTACCTCAGACTGTCCGGGAGCTCATTGATGCCCTGGTCCAGATTTGGGAGGAAATACCCCAGGACATCATCCATCATCTCATTAGGAGCATGCCCTGATGTTGTCAGGCATGCATACAAGCACATGGGGGTCCATGCAAACTACTGAGTACCATTTTGAGTTGTTGCAATGAAATTTTCAGCAGAATGGAGTAGCCTGCTGCATCATTTTTTCACTGTGATAGAAATTAAAATTATCAACCTACAGAGGACTGAATTCAAAGACACCCTGAAAATCAAACGATGGGGCATCCTTACGTTCCTAACACATTACCCAGTCCATACCAGCATGATATTTTTCCCCGTTGAGATCTGATGTGTGTTCCTTTACTTTTTTGAGCAGTGTACTTAATAAAAAAAAAAATATTCTTTTCCCTGTATTATTTCTGCGCTACAAAAGCAGTAACCTCTGTCTTTTCATGAAAAGGAAAGCACAGAAATGCTAAGCGAAGGTCTTGTTTGCTGAACATTTTTGTATATAAGGCTAAATGGCTGGGGAAAAATGATCACTATGTATAACCAATCACACTTTTGCTACTAGGAATAAATATAATAATTCTTATTCTCATTGGCAGATGAGCCACAGACATGTCAGCTCTGTCATGGACCTGACTTCCACCACCTAATGCAGGAACTGAGCATGGAAGGTTTCCACTGTACAGTGGCCTAGGTCATGGGTAGTATGAGTGGCGAGAAATCAAATACCCTCACATATGCCTTGTAGTTATGCAGCTGGCGCCCTTGAAAAATAAAAAGCTAAGTCAGGCAAATGGGAAATCCTGTTATGTATTAATTCAAATAATGCACATTATTCATCTGACCGCAAAAGTTTTGCTGCTGATTTTTGCACTGACCTCATGTATCCTTGCAGGCAGGAGAATTGCATTATTTCTATATTTAAAAAGACATTAAATGATATGGTCTTCAATGGCTTTGAAATGTTTTTCTGTATATTAGGTCTACTTTTAATCTAAATTAAAAATAGAAAAAACATTTGAATAAGTTTTAGACTAAGTAAGTGTAAAAGTTTCATTGCAATGGAACCAGCTTTTATTCTGTTCTTACAAACGATAGCACAACTTGTTTCCAGGAAACATTTACTTTAGTGTGCAGTACTGCCATTGAGCAGTTTCATTAGTGGCTCTATCGCGGCACAGTCCAGATAAATGCCTGACACACAGTAACTCGGTTTACCACTCGCTCCACTTGGTTTACAACAATTTATTGCCCTGTTTGACTCTTTGCAGATTTCATATATTTCTCCCTTATCACCTTTTCACAATTTACTTATATTGGACATTTGCTCTCATTCAACCTATCCCCCGTTTATTTTTCATACTGTTCCATGACTTTTTC